GGTTACTCGTAGTATTTTACTTTTGCTTAGTATATTAATAATGAAAAGTTCTGTATCATCTGAACAGTAAACTAGACTGCTAAACAACTCTAGAGAAAAAATGATTGTAATGTTTACAATTAAAGAAGCATTTAGAAATGAATTTCCATTGTGTACATCTCTTATTTTTTACAATTTTGAATCCGCCAACAACTTGATGACTTAAATCTGTGTACTATATATTTTTTTTATCTTTTATGCAAATACTAAATGGGTAGCGATATATGACATTTACATAAGTCTAATTAAATCTTATCGTTTATGTAAAGAAGAAAGTAAACACGCAATGTAACCTTAGGATTTATTGCTGCTTATGTAAAAAGTTATAATATAACTTGATAATACATTGCGAATGTATTTTACTGTTTTTTTTTTTTTTGTATCCTACCAGTTGTCGATTTTGACTTTTAAAATTAAAATTTGATATCGAAATTTAGACTCCAATTAATTTTTTTCAATTAATAAAATGGATATTTCTTTAATGGTATCGCGAAAAACGAGGACGGGCAATAAGTTAAGTGGTGGTATTTGCTTTTCGATGCCCGTCCAAATTAGTTTTAGTCTCACTTGTTACTTCTTATTTTCGTGTAACCAACCTAATCTTGTGTTTTTTCTTATATTGCCCTCGTAGATTGTTATCTACGCGAACAAATTTTTTTTAAACATTTGCTTCGGTATTTCAATTGGTCGTCCGATACACTTTTTGGATGAAATGGTATTAGTGGTTTAACCAGCACACATTTGACCTCACGTCGTCTAGTAAGTGTTTCGTTTATCGACGCCTGTTGCAACGAATTGTCTGGTCCGTACATCGAATGAAAAAAAAAACGTTTACTTTTTTTCTACGGAGCAACATGTTAAACGACCCTCTCCGCCTCGTTTCCTTGACCTCATCCCTAACCTGCAGCGTGTCGTCGACACTCGATAACGCGGAAAGATGTGTCAGTTGATCGAACTGAATCGTTTAAAGAAATTCGTTTAAATGTATTTCTACGTTGATTGGCTTTTACAAAATAAAAAAGTGCCGTGTGCATTGAATATGTTNTACAAAATAAAAAAGTACCGTGTGCATTGAATATGTTATGTGTCGTTTAATCTTCGTGAACCGCGTACTCTCCCATTCAATCACCTATTAGTGTATCTAACTAGCTGTATCGCGATGCATTATATTATTAAAGGAGCGCACACGTCGTGATGCTGTTCAGGGGGAAAGAGGAGAGTAGCGCCCGACTGGTGAGTCGCCGCCGCCGCGCGGAACGCCAGCAACACCCGCGTCGTGGCGCGCCGGGCCACTCGGTCACCTAGTGTTATCCTCTACAGTGTGTTGTGCTGTGCTATAGTCGGCGCGCGTCCCGTCGTTTAGTGTGCCGTTTGTTTGTGGTCGCGGCTCCTAAGCACACTGTCCATCACGCGCTCTCATCTTTCCTACTCTGCGGACATAATTTATCTTCGAATATTTTTATACCAGCAAATTTCGTCAGCTCTAATTGATATTGTTGTTTTGTATTACATTATTGAACGTGTCAGCCGTTGACGACGACGCCCGATCATAACGCGTTGTGTATATCGACCGTTCGATGGTGGTGATGTGTAGCATGTTATTATTGCTGTCTTTCGTCCAGTCCCCGTACTGCTACGTCCGTCCCGCTGTACCTGCCCGCTGCCGTGCCGAGAACGTGTCATTCTGAAGAAACAGAGGCCGTTGTCACTGCCATTAATCTTCATAACGTAACAAGCGTAAAATCTGTACAGTAATCACGGTTGTTGTTGTTGTTCATTAGGTTGTGCAACGGGACGACGTCATAAATATAGTTCACCTTAAGCCTATACTACAGGTGAGTGCGAAGTACTTTTAAACTCACGCGAACGTTGTACCCCTTTTTGCACCCAAGGAACTGTCATGGTTCTCTTGAGCTGTGAGTAACTGGCGGGTGGGTGGGTCGAGGTGAGAGTTCTGACGGTGTAGGCGGCAATCCCGCGGTGCTACTCGCGTTCACCCCTATTATCGATTGTCGCTCAGATTTCCGGAAAAAACCCGTAGAGTCTATTTCGATTAAATGGATTCAGGTAATATCGAAGAGGAGGCTAATCGTTATCATAAAACCAATTTAGCATATTTGACCGCCGAGAGATTATCTGAGAATGGCGACCGAGAATCGATCGAAAGCATACGGAAGGTTTTACCCAACGTGTAATTTTTTATTTGTTCCTGACAAATTTCAGAATGTAATTTTTTTTTTTCTTAAAATGTCTCCATCAATTAACGTGTATTTTTATTTTATACTCTCTTTTATTGGTATATATTAAAGTTTTTGTGACTTTTTTTTTTTCGTGAAAAAACTTTTTAATTTTTTAACAAAAACAATTTTCTAAAATTAATTTAATTGATTAAAAGTAATGTTTATTGTAAATATAAAAAAAATCATCGCTTAATTTTTCAATCGTTCGGTTTATGTTGCTTAGTGTCAAAATCTCATAAAGCTATAAGATGTCGTATTTTAAATAATCGTGACGTTATAACTTTATTGAGATATTTTTAATACGTATTGCTGATTATAGATTTTTATATTCTGCGCACAATGCGTCGTCGACCTCTTTTCTTATTAAATATTCAACGAACGGTTCGTTTTTCTGTAAAAACTAATGTTTTATTGAGTTTTTTTTTACATTTCAAAACTTGCCCATACGTTTTTTATTAAACAATATTGAACCAATTTCATTTAATTTGCCGCAATTAATATAAAATTAAAATTAGCTATTTCAAACAAAACGTCGTGTTTTGATAATGCAAATTTTATCAACTATTTTTCGTTTGGCGTGTTTACTCGTTAATATATAAAATAAGAATGGTTTTAAAAAGCCCACATTCGTGTGACTGTGTTCTACAGGTAACATGATAAATAACCGACGTTTCAACATGCTGCGCATTGTAAAATTAATAAATAATAATCGTAGTTCTTTATTATGTCATCGATTTCGACGTGGTAGTNTAAAATTAATAAATAATAATCGTAGTTCTTTATTATGTCATCGATTTCGACGTGGTAGTAGTAACGACTAGTTGACCAACATCGAAAAGCTCTAATGTCTTTATAACAATTATTCGACGGCATTGCGAATTAAATTGTAATCATAGNTGGTAACGCGACTAGTTGACCAACATCGAAAAGCTCTAATGTCTTTATAACAATTATTCGACGGCATTGCGAATTAAATTGTAATCATAGTAGTAATAAAATGTAAAATTCGCCCTTATTACTTTATACTGTTCGANAGTAGTAATAAAATGTAAAATTCGCCCTTATTACTTTATACTGTTCGATGTAATTTTTTACTGTTCCGTCTTCCGGTTATGACCAAGTGAAATGTCCAAGGGACTGTGACTTTGTAATGTTGCGGTCACGCTATATTTAAAATTTCATAAATATTTATCATGCGATTTTTTTATTATTTATAAGGTTGACCGACATACAGCAATGGATTTTTCATGTAAAACAATAATCACCAACAAAAGACAAATTGAATAAATGGTTTTCATGTTCATATGACACAACTGAAACTTATAGAAACAGCAGTACTATGTCATTTGTATAATATCCGTGGGCTTATTACAGATCTAAAATTTCCGTTTTTATTTTTTTTTTTTTGAAGTCATGTTATAACGGTCGAGTTGGTTTATGGCCATTCATTTTTTTTGACAGCGCCTATATTTAAGTATCATCACACAATTCCATTCGTGTCAAATGCCTAATATAATAGTGTGTAATTCTAAGGAAAAAAATTAACTCGTGGACGGTAGGCGTTTTTGCCAAAGTTTGTAGTTGCTTTTTCGTTATTATATTTTTAAACGTTTTACCATGAATCGTCATTTCTATGTCTGCATTTTTACAATGATTCATTGTCTCTGAATTAGAAATTGGTAAGCTTTTTTGACGACGCTTTATTTATAACCAATGAATAAGAAAAAATAAAGTGCTCCAACTATATACATTTTTGTTTCATTATTGTTATTGTAATTATTTACAATATTTTTATAAATGATTCATCATATCATGTTGATTGTGGTAAAATTATGAGTTGATTACAAAAATAAAGTTGGAATTAGTAATTTAAATGGAACTGATTATGGATTCGCTTTAGATTTGTAAAACAGGACGAGGCATAAGTAATTATATTTTTTTCATATTCACAAAGATTTCTGTTTTAATGGTGAAAAAATACATCTGGCATATGATCACTTAGGGAGTTTTGGCAGTCAACTATCTGCTCGCTGCAGTTGACGATCGCTCTAGCAGAGACGTTCCCGATAATTTCACCAAACATACGTTTACTTTCCGTCTTAAGTTCGGCAATGGTTTGAAGATTAAATATTAGATCTGTGCGAATGTAAAAAAAAAAAATAAAATTTGGATAATTTTCACGGAGTTATCCAATTTTTTAAAATATTCATGCCGCATCTGCTTTAAACGCAGATTTTTACCCTCAACATTAAACTAAGAATAAATTCATGACTGCCGTTTGTTTATTTAGTACGTTATGTATATGCAAATTATAAAGGCTGATTGAGATAGCTAATTATTTGAGTGCTTTCCAAATTCCTACCCAAATTTAGTAGTGATGTAATTTATGTTTATGTTTCGTACAACTAAGTTGTATTCGCTCAAATACATGAAATATCTTGACTGACGTTGTACTTGTATAGGTTTGTATTCTATTGATTGATGAGAACCTCAACGTGTGATCGTCTTTATTATTTGATATTTTACAAAATCGTGTTTTCTTGTTTGAATTTGATACGTCGATTTTGTTTAAAAAAAAAACATTTATCTTATGTGTATTAATTTTCCAATAGTAAAGCGCTCGTGTTGTAAAATAATTTTACTACTGACACTATACTGTTCTTATTTTATTACCGAATGTAAAGTAAAAGTCACATTAAATACCTTCTTCCTTTTTGAAAGTAAGTGCTACAGACGCCTACTCGCACGATGAAACCATTTTTTTATGTGCCATGTGTATAAAGTTTATTAAAAAAGCAATTTTACTACAGCTGAAACAAATGTGAACGTTTTAATGTTTTAAAATAATTCCTAAAGTTTATCCTTTTTTATTACTAATACGCCCGTGATACTCTTATATGGTTCATGCGTTCAGTTGACACACAATGGAATTCCATCGGTGTTATCAGATCTGCTGCTGTCACAAAGCTCATTCGCATGTGTTGCGTCAGTGTTCATGTATTATTACTTAGCAGTCAGTCAAATACAGAATGGATGAACTCGAACAAACATTAATACCCATCAACGAAGGTCTGTCTATAGGTAAACAGACCTACGTTGATGATTGTCAATGCTTGATAAAAAACAGTCCTTGTACGCAAATATTTTATTATTAAAAAACCACCTCTTGCAGAGTATTTTATTGAAACATAATTGTTGACGCGGTGTAGCATTTTGGTCACGTATCCAGATATGAAGTTTCGATATAGTCGCATATGTTTTCGTCGAACACTCACCTGCTGATGGAACAATAGTCATTTACTATCTACCGTTTATTGCATTAATTGTAGACCATGTATACTGCACAGATATATGTTATTCGTCACGTTTCTCCCTGTCATAACAGCCGTTTGCTATTCTCTGTCAGAGAATAAGAGCCACTTCTGTTTGGTCCCGAGAGATATTATTCGTGACTAAAATAATATACCACCACGTCTTTCGTATTCTAAATCTGTAGTGTAGTTTAATTAAGCTATAAAGAGTTTAAGTAATAATATTACCAAAATGCCCGTGTGAAGTAAGTGAAGCTGAACTTGAAACATAATAGAATAATCGGTGGTTGTTATTGGATTTGTAAATGTTACTAAATATCGAAAAAAAGTCGAGTTTCATTTTTGAATTTTACATTTGTTAAAAACGTGTTCTAACTTTCTGATTTATTCACATAAATTTCCATTAAAGAAATTTATGTAAATAATAAATAAAAAATTGTTATATCATTGATGATTTACCTAATCAATGTATTTTAATCGTTTTATAATATTCACCATATTATATTTAGATAATGACAGTTAATTGCTGCACTTACAGTAGTATTAAGCTCTACACGCGTATAATGGTTATTTGAATCAATAAAATGTATTAGTACCACAATAGTGTTATCATTGCAAATGTTTGTCTGTATTCATAGCGTGTTATGAAAATGTGTTTGTATTGAGCAACGTATTTTTATTAAAAATACTTTGCATTAAACATTGTCAATTTTGAACTGTAAAATAACCGTTGCGTAAGTTTAATTAAAATTTAGCCTAAATAAAAATATGTGGTCATAAGAAACGCAATCAACCACACATTCGTTTAACTTCATTACAGTAACATTCATTAATTTCTCTTTTTTTTTTTATTAATTCGGTCTTCATAGTGGTGTAAGACGTCGTGTTGAATTTTATCACGCGATGTTATTTTACCTTATTCTTCATTTTGCATGTGTTTGGCGTGCATAACAATATCATGTACGATCAAGATATTCTTAGAATGTCAATAAAATGCTCTTAGACCTAAATAAAAATACATATATATCTATATACATAATAAACTTGAATTTATAGTACAACGAGTACTATATAATCCTTTGAAATGTAATAATCGCTTTAACAAATAAAATGATCTTTATTTACATCCATCTGAATAAACCTACAAAGTTAATTTCAAGTAAGTTGTAGTAACACGAGGACGTGACAGTAATGTTGAGACTCTTTCAACGTTAGTACTTGTCGTATGACAGTTGTTGTTAAGAAGCTAAGGAAAATGCAAACACAGTCAAACAGTAACGTATC